ATCCTGATAATCTGGTTTTCACCCTTTGGCTCTGACATTCAGATTCTGAAAACTGAACAGTCCTTCTCCCACCACTAGGCCTGACCATATAAGACCCAGTGTGACATTATCCAGGGTACATAAACAGTGGTGTCCCCTGACTCTTCCAACCTGGGGTGTCTTTTACACTGCTTCACTGTGAGAGCTACCACTCCTGGTCTGCTCACACACAGCTGCCAGTGTGTAAATGACTCCCGGCTACACTGCATGAGTGCTATAGCCAGCCACTCATTAATTACACTGCAAAGTAACACCAACAAATTCCTAGTCCCACACTTTACCTCCAACAATGTGCATCTTGTGTTGCCCAGCACTCTCCTGGACAATGCAAGCTCATATAAAATCCGTGAAAAAGGCTTTGACAAGAACCCTCACCAAAGGCTCTTAAGCAAAGTAAGCAGTTATGGGATAAGAGGGAAGGTTCTTGCATGGACTGGTAACTGGTTAAAAGATAGGAAACAAAGGTTAAATGGTCAGTTTTCAGAAAGAAGAGAAGTAAATAGGGTGTTCCCCAAGGTTCTGTACTGAGCCCAGTCCTATTTAACATATTCATAAATGATCTGGAAAAAGGGGTAAACAGGTAGGTGGCAAAATTTGTAGATGATACAAAACTACTCAAGATAGTTAAGTCCCAAGCAGACTGTGAAGAGCTACAAAAGGATCTCTCAAAAACTGGGTGACTGGGCAACAAAATGGCAGATGAAAATCAATGTTGATAAGTAATCAATGCAAAGTAATGCACATTGGAAAACATAATCCCAAGTATTCATATAAAATGAAGGGATCTAAACTAGCTGTTACTACTCAAGAAAGAGATCTTGGAGTCATTGTGGATAGTTCTCTGAGAACATCCACTCAATGTTCAGTGGCAGTAAAAAAACAAAAAAACCCAGAATGTTGTGAATCACTAAGAAAGGAAAGATAAGAAGACAGAAAATATCATATGGCCTCTATATAAATATATGATACACCCATATCTTGAATACTGCATGCAGATGTATACCCCAGCTCAAGAAAGATATACTGGATTTGGAAAAGGTTCAGAAAAGGGCAAGAGAAATCATTAGGGGTATGGAACAGCTGCAGTATAAGGAGAGATTAATAACACTGGGACTTTTCACCTTGGAAAAGAGATGACTAAGGAGGGATATGAGAGAGGTCTATAAAATCATGACTGGTGTGGAGAAAGTAAATAAGGAAGTGTTATTCACTCCTTCTCATAATACAAGAGCTAGGGGCCACCAAATGAAATTAATAGGTAGCAGGTTTAAAACAAACAAAAGGAAGTATTTCAACCTGTGGATCTTTTTGCCAGAAGATGTTGTGAAGGCCAAGACTATAACGGGGTTCAAAAAGGACTAGATAAATTCATGGAGGATAGGCCATTTATGGCTATTAGCCAGGATGGGCAGCGATGGTGTCCCTAGCCTCTGTTTGCCAGAAGCTGGGAATGGGCAGCAAGGGATGGATCACTTGATGATTACCTGTTCTGTTCATTCTCTCTGGGGCACCTGGTTTTGGACATTGTTGGAAGACAGGATACGGGACTAGATTGACCTTTGGTCTGACCCAGTATGGCCGTTTTTATGTTCTTATATATGTGATATGCACATGCTTTGTAATCCTCAATTGAGTTTCCCAAACACTTCAACACAAACACACTGGTTTAGATAAAACACTAAAAAAAATTATTAACTACAGAAAGATAGATTTTAAGTGATTACAAGTAATGAGGCAGAAGAGTCAGAATTGGTTACAAGGAAATAAAAATAAAACACAACTACCACCTAATTTAACAAGCTGAGTGTATTCAAAGCAAAGTCTCTCTTACCACATGGTCCAACAATCTTAGTGGCTGAACCTCTCCTAGAAACTGCCATCCCCACTAAACCTCTTTTCCCCTTAGATACCTTTCCCATGAGATCATACTTGTCAATTCTCTGAATGTATTGAAGACTACTTTCTTATCTTTAGTCAACCTCTCTTGTGCCTTCTCTTCTGCAGAATCATTATCTCTGTGTATTCACAGTCACTTTCACCCATGTTGTCTTCCACCTTCAGATTCACAACCATTTCCTTGCTTATGCCCAAATAAATCTTAGTCTTTAAGGTGTCACTGGACTCCTAATCACTTCCTAGTTATTTTTCAGCATCATAGCTAAAAGAGCTGCCCCTCTAGAAAAGTAAAACTCTAAGTGCTAATAAAGAGTTGACAGAGATTTTTTTTTAATTTTAAGAATAGTCACTCTCTCCTTACCTAAAAAGCAGGAAAACAACAGAGACTCAGACAACCAAGAATGTATCTGTTCAGTATTCTTATACACATTTTTATCTGCTTCTTTTCCCTCTTTACTCATCCCCTAAATTGGTCTGTCATCATATTACATTGTAATCTACCTAATTCACACTGCAAGTTTCTCAGGGATAGTGTTTGTTTTCTTATATATCTATGTATAGGTGTGGAAACCTGCAGTGCTCTATAAAAGATTAGTAACAATACTTAATAATATTTAAGAGTGGCCCTGAAGCTACTATTATTTTATTATGCCTAAAGTCCCTAATCTGGAATTGGGATCACACTGTGCTAGGCACTGTACAAACAGAGAGTATGAGATACTCCCTTACAGTTTAAATAGACAAGACAGAATAACAATAATCCACAGCTAACAAACAAGCAAAACATTAAAAGGTACAAATGTTCTTGTGTGTTTTTGTTTACTATTTTTCTCAACCCTTCTCATATCCCCAACACTTCATACAGGTGCCCCAAACAGCCTGCACCACCATTGTTAGCCCAAAGAACTCTCACTCTACTCAGCCCTTCCCCTTAGAGATAGCTCTCTTCCCCAGACAAAATGAGCAAAGATCAAATGACATTGAGACTGGTTTGTTGGTTTGTTTGTTTGATAAGTTTGCCATGATGGCCCCACGTCTGGGAAGTTGTAAGATGCCTGCTCTCTCTGCCACCTCCTCCACATGTTCATTAACAACAGCCATGTCAAGTCTCTGCTCCTAGAGGTTACCACATCACCTCTTAGGAAGGTGGGTTGGGCCCCATGCTGTACCCCAAGAGAGCAGTGGGCTGCTGAGGTACATGTGCTGGGTGCCAAGGGAACCTGGTCTGACTTCTGCTATTGCTCCAGCAGTTTCAACAGCAGTCAGACTGTCATTAATTCACCCACAAAACTCAAATTTAATGGGATCAGGATCCAGCCTCTTGTCACTATCAGCTATTTCACACTGGAACATGTTCTCTTTCAAGCATCGATTTGTCTCTGGCATTATCTTAATTTGGATATTGGCTGATGTGGAACAGGGATTTAAACTCCCATCTCCAACCAGGGTGCCCTAACCACTGGACTATAACCACTGGACTATGGGATATTCTGATGTAGTTCTGTCTCAGTCTCTCCAGTTAAAACTGTTCCACTGTGTAAAAATAATTAAGTATTCATGAGGCCAAAGTCGGGGTAATACTCTATAGTGCAGTGGTTAGGGCATTCACTTGGTATAGCCAAGTCCCTGCTCCAGTGATTATTTAAATATATAGAGGAACAGCATCAACAGAAGAGAGTGAGTGTGCCATAGAATATCTCATACACCAGTGATTAGTGCTCTCACCTCAGACGTAGGATATGTGTCTGCAAATCCCTATGGGGAGCTGAGCCTGTAACTGCCGCTTCCTGGGTGAGTACTTCTAACAGATTGATTGGGTCTGCGCAGTGAGCTGGCCTTTGAACAGTCTCCTGGGAGTAGCCCCTTTTGTGTGCCCAACCCCAAGCGTACATACTTTTCAGAGGGTGAGCCCTGCACCTCTGCACCTCTGAGAGTGTGTCTTCAAGCTCCAGCACCCCTGTTTCTCATCATGATTCTCTCCAGCAAGTCCAAGTCAGAGAAACTTTACCTTCTTAGGGAGTAATGCAACCGAGCAAGTGTCTGAAGAGACACAGTGCAGCCTTTTCACAACAAGGCAGCATTTATTAGTCAAACGGAATACAGCACTGGAGAGTCCTTAGTTCAGCATGGGAAAACCAAGCTCAGTTACCATCCGTGTTGGTAAAAGCCTTGACCCAAAATACCCTGATCTCTTTACGCTCCATCTTGACTCTCAATCTCTCTGTGTCTTTGTCTCTGTGGTCCTGTGTTCTTAGCAGCAATTTTAAAAGACTGTCCATTCACATTTCGTGCCTTTGTTTTCCACTGTAGACACATTGTTTTCACAAGTCCAGCCAGTTCTTGTTAATGTGTCTCGTTCAAATCCAGACAGCTTACATATTTACCCACCCTAGCCCTTATCTACCTTGTCACATGTATGAAACTTTTCTCATTAAATGTGTAATAATGCAAAGTGGATAGGTACACTGAGTCATACATATAGTTCACAAAAAAATTACAAAAAAATTCTCAGACATCATATCCCTCTAACCACTGGGTTAAAGGTTATACTGGATTCACCACTGCCTCCATCTCTGTTGTTTTGTATGGGGTCTGATCTGTTAGGCTCCACAGACTAAACGTGAGGAGCAATGCCTAGTTTGAAGATTGTACTGGGACTTAAGCCCCTGGTGCCTAGATGGAGGAGGCTGCAGACATGCTCAGTGGCAGATTTTTAGATGCCTGAGAGGTTTTGTCATGGCAACTTGGGCACCATAGAGTTAGGTTGAAGCTAAGTGTGCATTTGTTGGATCTAAATTTTGCATTTGGATACTTAAATCGCAGCTATAGACTCAAATCCCTGTGTGCAGCTGGCACTGGACAATATTGTGTTCAGGTTAGTAAATTGTATAGGTCCTGATCCCAGAAAGCACTTAAAATTTAAACATATTTAAACTTTCCTATAGCGAAGCAAATAAGCACTGGCTTAACTTTATATATATCCATGTGTGCTTTGTTTAATTTGGAATCATAGAGAATAAAAATATTGTAATGAGTAACCAAAATTATTTTTTTTTAATGCAAAGGAATCCCAAACACTACAAGACATCGTGGAGCAACCAGCAGATACATCAGCCATCAGTATATTGAAGAATCATTACCCTAAAATAAGTAAGTATATTGGAATACATAAAATATCACCATGTATTATTGTACGTTTGTAACAAACATGCATTAACTCTTAAACTATTTAAAATACATAGTTTCTACATTTGGTAAGGAGGTCGCTGGTGTGTATCAGTTGTGATCAATAGTAATAATAATATGCAGAATTTCTTAATTTCATGATAAATAAATAATGGAGCTTGAAGAAATAATCATTCAGAGTGCAAAATCCAATGGCTCAGCTAGACATGAGTTTAAATATTAGCTGTGCAGCCTTTAAGATCTATGTATGTTGTGGTGGTGTCACTGTGTCAGTCCCATGATATTAGAGAGACAAGGTGAATGAATCAATATCTGTTATTGGACCACATTCTGTTGGTGAGAGAGACAAGCTTTCAAGCCTCATAGAGCTCTGTGTATTACCTCACCCACCTTGTCTCTCTAATTAAAAGTCTAGGGGTTTTTAAATAGTTAGACATGCAATTGTTCACATAAAATTAGCCATCAACACTTAATTTGCCTATGCAGTTACCCTACTTCACACTATGAACTGTACAATTTCTAAACATATTTGAGTCTCAGTAATAAAAAGAAGCCTCACAACAATTTTGCAGATACGTGAATATATATATAATACAGCATCTTTCCCCCCCCGGACTTTTAATGCGAGTTTTGTAATTCACAGCATGTGCTTTCAAACACATTTAGTTCAGATCAGATATTTGAATGCTTATTGATGTTTCATAGCATGAAATTTGCCCTCTCCCTCAATGTGGAGGAAGATATGCAACAATTTTATGTCCCCAGTTATGATTTCCACTACTGGTTTTAGCCAAAGTTTATTAACTATAAACAATAGTTGTAAAGTGTTTATAAGACCCAGAAAACAGATCAAAGCAGATTACCTAACAAATAAACAAAACACAATCTAAATATAATATACTAAAGAGCTTGTATATGAGTAGTAAATTCTCAGCCTAACTGTTGTCTTAGAAAGTTTGTAGAGATTCTTGAGGGCAAGCTGCACTTGCCTGCAGCTTAAACCCCCAGGTATTCCTTATACAGGTTAGAAATCCCTCTAGCCTGGGTTCAGCTCATCTTCCCCAGTCAAGTCCTTGTTCCTTAGGTGTTTGCAGCAATCTTCTTGGATGGGGAGTCAGTGAAGAACTCAGATGATGCCACTCACCTGCCTTAAATAGCTTTGGCATATGGCAGGAACTATTTGTCTCCCAGATTGATTCCCAAACCTGGTCAGTGGAAAAACAGCTGTCTTTAGCTGACATCTGCCTGGCTGGGGCAAACAACATCGAATAGTCTGGGGCAGGGGGAGAGGATCTCTGGCCCTCTGGGTGACGCAGAGCCACAAACAATCTTTAGCCCAGAGTATTCTGGCTGGGGCAGACAGTAAATAACAGTCTATAAGGGAGCTCAGGCCCTCTTGGCAGGGCAGAAACATGAGCAGTCTTTAGTCCACAACCACCTGATCTCTGGAAAACAGTAATTAACTCTCAATATGGACCTCAGGCCTTTGAGGTGGGGTAGATAACAAACAGGCTATAGCTTCACAGTGGGTGGAGTCAGTGGCAAGGGGGGAGGATAGGGGGAGCCAGGCCCACCACGTAATAGCCCAGTGCCTGAAATGTGGCTGATGTGTCTGCCACCGGGTCAGCGGGGATGCTCTGGAAACACTCTGACTCATTTTCTAGCACCAGAATCAGACTAAAGTCTGGTTCCCTGGGCTATATCCTACCACAATTTGGGTGTAGGGCTCTGTAGACCAAATCTCATCTATTCTTCCGCCTCCTCTAACTGCAGAGTGTGGCTCCACTCGAAGGCCAGTCCAGGATCCTCCAAAGATCTTCACTCCTTCTAAGAGATGATTGTTCCCTCCAGTGGTCCAGCCCTAATCGAGCTCCAGAGCTCTCCTTTTATGTTTCCAGATTGGAGGGATGCCACTCCACTTCATATATGGGGCAATTACATTATGACACCGGATGAGCACTGGGGGAAGAGCCAGGAGAAATAGAGACAAATGTTATAGAACTGATGCAGGGATCAGTGCGTGGCCTCGGTTTGCAGGAGGTCAGACTGGATAAATGCAATGGTTTATAGTTTCTCACTTTGAATCTATAATTTTGGTGTTTCCTAATAATTGGAGTTCTTTTCTACTCATACAGATCCTAAAGATGGAAAAAGGTAGCTAATACCACGAGATCAGGAAGGGATGTCAGGGAGTCCTGATAAGTGCTGGGGATCTGAGTGGTTTGTGGCTGATTGAAGGAGTGGGGGGTGGATTCAGATTTTACCTCTTTGCCAATGGGGAACATTAGGTTTTTTTTTCTTTTTTTAAAATTTGAATTAATGATTAATTATCCCAGATCTACAGCCACTGAAATTAGGGGACAAACTCACCTTAATTAGGGGCAGATAAGAGAGTCACAGTCACACTACTGAGACATATTTCAAATGGCCATGTTTTCCCATGAGCAGAAAATTACCTCTCAAATTCTTGTAGTTTCCGTGCAGGTGACATATTTTCAAGCACAGCACTATTCAGAATTTTAGCATCTTATGTCCTGATGCTGAACATACTGAGAAGCTGCTGCTTCCTTTGGTTTCAATGGAAAACAGATAAAATAAGCCAGTCTGCAAATCAGGCCACTGTTGATGCCGATTTATTTTCCTTTTTTATGTAAAAAAAAAAATTACTAGATGCAGATGAGCAGAGAGTTCCATCCAAAGAAATGATGAATCTTTGAGAAAATAAGTATCCTGGAACATATTACCATCTGTTCTATTTCCCATTTCAATTGCTAGTTCACATGGGTGAGAGTGGGACGTTTCAATGTACTCATTTGTAATACCATTCTTGTTAGAGTTCTAGTCTCCTATTGGCAGCTCCTGTCCCAGTGTTGAATTAATATTATTCTTTGAACATTTCTTACAGCTGTAACCTTAAAAAAAATGTTCCCAGCATCAGGAGAGAGGAAAAGCCCTGGTAAGTGCCAGCAATCTTCCACCAGGTGTTAAGTGGGAAGGGACATATGGGGGCAGGGATTGGAGTGATTCATTTAAGGTAAGTTGCAAGGGTAGCATTGAGTCCTCCCCATACTTCTTTCCCTGTTGCTCATCTCTACAGCATCTCCCCTCTTCCCCCCCCCACCCCGGCAAGTTTCAGCAGTAGCATTTCCCCCACCCCATAGGGCTGAGGTGTGCCTTCTTCTCTCTGTCATGCTGTCTGGAGTGGCTCACAACTATGAGTACCTACCTCAGGGTAGACTGTCAGAAAACAGGACCAACACTATACGCTGGTTATGTGTTCTGTTAGATTGCACCAAGCCAGTGTCAAATGTGAATTCCTAGATCATTATGCCAGTCTTACCATGGAGTCCTTGGACTCGCCAGTCTACCTTGTTACCCGGACAAGTTGTACTTTGTGATACACTTATAAAATTTGCAGATGATGATACAGGCTGGGAGGGGTTGCAAGTGCTTTGGAGGATAGGATGAAAATTCAAAATAATTTGGACAAACTGGAGAAGTGGTCTGAGGTAAATAGGATGAAATTCAATAAGGACAAATGCAAAGTACTCCACTTAGGAAGGAACAATCAGATGCACACATACAGAATGGGAAATGACTGCCTAGGAAGGTGTACTGCAAAAAGGGATCTAGGGGTCATAGTGGACCACAAGCTAAATACAAGTCAACACTGTAACATTTTTGCAAAAAAGCAAACATCATTCTGGGAAGTGAGCCAGACACAACTCACCCCTACCCATCCACCAATTGATCTCTTAAAGAGATATCTCCCTATTAGCACGTGGGTTAAATTTGCTCTTTTCTCTTCCTGTTTTGATGTCTGAGTTTTTTTATGTCTTCAAACCATATCAGTAAGTGTAGGGTATCTCAGCACCTCCTCAACAGTCAGCACAAATCCTTATACTTTATCACATCTCAATTTGTGCTGTGGCATGCCCTCAACTCCCACATGTAGTCATGGGACAATTACTCTTTGTCCCACCCCCACTCTGTGTCAAAACCCAGGGACCCTACAAATAGCAGTCATGCTCTGCTTCCTTTACTAGTTGATGCTGCTGCTGCAGCATTGCCTGGGATACTTCCAGCTCTGTCCCATGACCTTCTTGGGTTCCCTGCCTGTTACCAATTTAACCAGGGTCTCTCCCAGGTGTTCTTGCATGGAGAGTTTCTCTAAAAAAGGGAAGAAGGAGGATCCGGGAAACTACAGGCCAGTCAGCCTCACCTCAGTCCCTGGAAATATCATGGAGCAGGTCCTCATGGAATCAATTCTGAAGCACTTAGAGGAGAGGAAAGTGATCAGGAACAGTCAGCATAGATTTACCAAGGGCAAGTCATGCCTGACTAACCTAATTGCCTTCTATGAGGAGATAACTGGCTCTGTGGATGAGGGAAAAGCAGTAGATGTGTTATTCCTTGACTTTAGCAGGCTTTGATACGGTCTCCCACAGTATTCTTGCCGGCAAG